TTGCCATTTCGGCACTATTTTAATGCTGTTACTATAGGTTCCCATTGAATTGTTCTAAAAATAGAGATTTCCAAAAAATATTATGACACGTTTCTCAAAAAGCATAACTGTAACACACAAAATAATGCTATTTCATTATACCATGGGACATTAGATTCAGGATTGTACATAATAAACTAATGAACATTGTCATGCTATATATGATCAATTTTGTCAAATATTATGAGTAGACTTCTCCCTTAAAGAATAGCCACGTCAAGCAACGAGATCTTGACCACATTCAGTATATGGTTTACGCTGGTAAAAATTGAGACACAGAAACAACTTTAAACCACAAGAAACTATGTTCAAATATGACACCGCATCTGTAACGTAATAATTGCAACCGTGGTTGAAGGAAACAGCCCTGGAACTAGCTATAAGTGATTTCAGATATATTGAGCGGTCGTTCAAATTAGGGGGTTAGTGGTATAGTTTCTTGTTAACAGCGACATTGGCATATGTACAATTGCCTCAATCTACATAGATTTTTTAAAATTTAAGACGCCGATTGACGCCGTATGCCCGATTTGTTCTGAGGATCTGCAAAATTTATTTTTTCTTTTTTTCCCCTGAGTGTTATTCACGGTTAGGGCATACGTTCTATTTTACCACAGGTTGCTAATCAGAACGACGTATTCAGACAATGGAAATGTTGGTATAATATAATAATATTCAATAGCTGAATATTACCATATCATTAATAGACCATTTTCCGTTCACTGCGAGAATCACGCGTTATGCGTGAAATCGAACGTAAAAACAGGACAAACAAAGGTCATAGCGTCGTAGTCGCGTCAAACATCGCGTGGGATTCGACAAACGCGAAAGTATTTGGGGGGACATTTCCATGCTTAATAATGTGCTGTACACATTTGATGATAGGCAATTTCGATTAAGTAAGGGTATTCGGAAGCAATATTCCTCTGTCGAAGATCGGCCGGTCAATGTAAGCTACGAAATAAAGAAATTCTAGTTCAAAATCAAATCGTTCGATTTTTGCGGCAGACGTTCGACGCGCGTCTTTCATGCATCTCGCGAGATCTCGCAATTGTACGGAAAATCACCTATTCGATATATTCCACTCATATATATTTTTGTGTTTAAATTTTTCAGGGAACTCCAAACTAAGAGCAATATAAGTTTTCATGGCAACGGGACCATATCTTATCATCCTGTCACCAAATATGTATTTGTACGCGATATGTCACGTGGTCCCGAAACTGAGACATTTACAACGCTGAACATTCCTGTAGTGGTATACCATAATTTTCTATTTGAATATTAACACACGTGCACTCACTCCCCTCAAAATATCAACACACGTGCACTCACTCCCCTCAAAATATCAACACACGTGCACTCAATCCCCTCAAAATATC